TCAATCGAGTAGCTTTCGCTTTTTCTCGCGCGACTGAATTTTCACGACGGACTTCTATACGGGATATCCACGCCGGAGTAATCGGTGCCTTAGATCACGCGTTATCTCAAACTATACAAATACTATAAATGTTGGCTTAAATGTTAGAGCAATGTTTATTAGTCAATTATTTTAGTCTTACATATTAATAAATAAATAATAATGACCAAAGATGTATTTATAAATAAATAACCTTTTCTGTTTTATTATTTGTGATTTTATTTAAAAGGTTCTTATTAAAGTCTTTTATATACGACATCGAGAGTGGGGTAAACGGGTAGACCGTCAGACCTCGCCGATAATAAAATAGAGAGAGACTCATATTTAGATTCATATTTATTCAATGTTACGCAAAAGCATCTCTTTTGCACTTGACGCACGTGTAAAACTTTCCGACTTTTATCTGAGGCGGGTTGTTGGTTGTCAGTACATCACACATCAAGAGAGCTGGAGTAACTATAAGTTGACTGGCTCAACCTGTCGAAACAAATAAGCCAAAAATAAAAGATTGGACTATGTATTTATTCAACTGTGAAAAAAATATCTCTTGGAACTTGATATATGTATGTAAAATTCGCCGAGCGATTTGACTTTTTGCTACGAATCCGAAATTTCGTCATATCACCGCGAAGGCTGACCGGCTTGTCAGCAGTGAGAGGATCGTATCCTGGCAGGCGCGGCCAGCTAATGTAATTGGCGCGCGATTAAACGAGGAATTAAGCTCGACGCTGCTTAAAGCGAAGGCGATACCGTAATTCGCCGCGCGGCTACAGGACGGCCTCGCCCGCCGCGATTCGAACTGTTAGGCTTTTAATAAGACGCGAGCGGGATTTTCTTCGAAGCGACGAGCAGATGTGACATACTTTTGGCCCGATATTCGACTTCGTGTGACCGTCCTGGGACAATGAGTGATCATTGATTTTAATAGGGATAGTCAATAATCACGCGAATCTCAACATTGGCAAAGATGATCAGAATTGAGAGCATTTAAATTACTCTGCTGCAGGCTAATGGCAAGTAGTATCAAGGAATCAGTAGCTATGCTTAATGGGCAATTTTGAGGACACTCGTACATAAAAAAGAAAAATACTGCTGCGAAGGATAAATAAGAAATTTTACAGCTCAAATTACTAATGGAAGTAATGAATGCTTCTTAAGTAGGACATAATGATTTTGAGAGAAAAAAAGTTATATGTGGCACACAACCTGGACGTAATATCTCTCCCAATAATTTCATGAAAGTATCTTTCTCGCGCATGTCTTGTGCTCGGTATTATTTCGTCGCAAGGTCAGAGGCAGTTCATCGAAAAGTGACTAAATTGCTCGTTGATATACCTACTTGTAATACGAGAGGTCCAATGCGCACGCCACTTTTGTTTATGGATCGTCGTCAGAATTATAAGACAATAATTTTTTTTCTTTAAGTTATACCGTCTTGTGTCTTCTGGTGGTGCGTTCACCTCGAATCCGAATATCGAAGTTGGCTCCGCGCCTGGAATATGGAGCGCTCTTCCTGTTTATCGCATCATTTATTATCTGTCATAATATATTTCTGCTCGTTGACCTTCATTTAGGCTATCACGACGAAAATCCCCGGGAGCATCGTCTCGGCGTCTCGCGCACGTGTGTAGCGTATAAACATGAGATAATAATTTTTATATTTATTACCCAAAATCATTATTAATTAGTTGAAGCCGGCTATCGTGTTCGGGAGAAGAAATATCTGCCTCGAAGAGACGTTTCATAAAATATTTCACGTACACACACAATCGCGAATATCTCCAGGAAACTTTCAAATTTAAGATTCAAACGCTTTATTTCGCAGCGCGGAAAATACCGAGTTTTTCTACAAAGCATCATATTATCTCTCCCATTCTTTCCGTTCTCTTCTCATTCTTCCTTTTATACTCGGCGTCTCGTTTCTCAGAAATGTATCACATCGTTGCGGGGGATCGCCTCCTTTCATTCCCGCGCGCGTTTTCTTCAGCACTCATTTAATCTTGTATGCGCTAGATTTACTCTCAGTGCGTTAATACACACGCAGCGTTGGGCTTGTGTACGTGTTACGTATCGTTCGTTCGAGAGTCAAGCCATACATATATACATATATTTTTCGTTCCGATCTCTCGCTTTGCCGCTGCCGCGGGCCGGTTGCGTTTGTGTCACGGGGGAAAAAGCATCGTGCGGCCGAGTCTCCGCTCCGAGAGATTCAGCGGGGTCAATGAATCTGATCTGGAAAGCGGCGATATATACACTCGCGGTGGCTGAGCTCGTGGGAGCCGCAGCCGTGGGGAACTACGCAGCCACGACCTCGAGGCCTCCTCTCCCGGAGGCGGCGGCGGTGGCGACGGCGGCTTCTGCTCCCTTCTTCTTCGTCTTCTTCTTCTTCTTCACCGTCTTATTTTTCTCACCGCCGCCGTCGCTGCACCAACCCGCCGACGCCGACGCGCCGAGATGGAATCATATGCTTGCGAACTCGCTCGTGCGTCGTTTCGTGCGCCCTCAAAGGGGATTCCCGGTGTCGATATTAGAAGCAAGAGATAATATATCTCAGTAAAAGAAATTAATTACATTGTAGAAGATAGAAAAAATGTCCCTCGATATGTTAAATATTTCAAACTCCGCTTATTAAGTTTTTACAAATTTACGAGTATTTTATCACCGATAAAACCGTAGAACTTGGGGTTCGAAACGATTATAACCGTTTTATGTGTCAATGCAGCGAAACACCCTGTATATTTCCTGCGTTATCATGCTCGCCGCGGAAATCGTGTTCGGAGGAACGTGTCGGAGTCCGCCCGCGTAGAAGCTTCGAAGTCGCGGAGTCCGTGACATATCGCGTGCGCGACTCGAAGGTCCGCAACGGGAATTCCAGTACATGTTTGCAACATGTCTGGCTGCCGTCCAAGGAGGTTGGAAAACGCACCGGTAATAATCGGCACGGCCGAAAGTTCGTCCGAGTCGTATAAGAATTGAGGCTCTGGCATGTCGCCAAGCTCGCTACTACGCACAGAAATCGACGCTGTCTCCGATAACGTTAATCGTAGACACCTGCTCCCGAGGCTGACTTACGAGTCTGGACTGCTGGATCATGTGGCTTCTTTCTCCGCGGCTCTCGCGGCTTAAAGTATAAACGCCAGTCCAGTTAGAAGTACTCGAGGAAAATTGTCTGGAAAACTTTCGACCAACTCCGTACTGCAAAGACCTCTTTTACAACAAAATCCGGCAGTGCAGTGTAATAAAAACTTATTCAGTTCTCATTTATTAGTAATAAATATTAGAATTAAAGTAAAGTTAATATATAATTTTTTATTTGTCTCATTCTTAAAAGCGATCGAGTAAGCAAATAATTCATATGGTATGATCGTGTAATCTTAGGCGGTATATTCACTTTCTAAAGAAAACATAAAATAAGATACTAGATTTTCCTCGAAAACGCACACAATAAATAATTCGAGACAACATTTGTTCTCGGTGTTAAATTCTGCAGACGGCGGAGATGTTAAATCCGAGCGTCGCCGTCGTCGCGGGGCGTCCCTTGCCATCGACGATATGCTGTAAAAATATATTTATATGACGCGCGATCGCTCGTGTTGGAAGTACATGAAGCGAAGAGAAAAAGCGTGCCGAAATTTATCGCGACGGCTCGACGTCGCCGTATCCCTCGTCGGTTCGTAGAGATCGGATCGAATTCGCCTTCAGCACCAGCCTCATCCGAGCCCCCGAGCTCTTTCACGCTCGCTATCGGGTTTTTCGGAATTATGCTGAGGGCACGTCGCATTATCACGAACCTAGGCCAGGTAACAAAGCTGACTTACAGCACGCGAATATTACAAGTTTCTAGAAGAATATTAGTTCCTATATTGAAAACTTTTAATGCAAGTCGCTCCCCCGTAGATATAACTGGAAGCGGACAATTAAAACTTTGAGAAGTCGTGCAAATCTCGATTGTTATAGGTAATACTTGAGAATTGGAAGGACAGATTCATTCCTTCTTCAAAACGACAGTCCTTAGCGTTTTCTTAACAGAAGATTTCCAAGTGAGAATTATAAGAAACTACATCATCATGCGAAGATACATCATCTCCAAGGTTGCGAGCGTACGTGTCTTCTTCAGATGGTTGAACGTTCTTGAAAAACCGAGGTCTCCGCGCAAATCGCCGATCATGCGCGTTTTGCAATCATCTCCGCTACGCGCGAGTCAGCAATTACCTCTCACATTTGAAAAGGCATCGATATCTTCCCAATGACATTTTCAGGACATCTAAGTATATTTCGTCTCTACTCTTGGCAACGAGACGAGAGAGTGAATGATTTTTTCCAGCGCGTCGCGGCAGGTGACATTAATATTCCTTAAATGCTTCGAGTGTAATAATACCAAGCATCAAGGATTCGCCGTTAATCAACAACTTTGTATTATTGCTGTCGTACTATTTCTGCGCGAAGTACCGACGAACTCAGCCGACGCTGGTTTTACGACGTGCCGCCACCGCCGGCGCATCCTGCAAAGTCTAGCGTTATTCCAGCTTGGAGAATGCATTACGAAGACGTTTCTCACTGACAGGAAACAATACGAGCCGCAGATAAGAAGCTTACACCTTGCCTCTACACGCCGCACCACTCGCTGCTCTTCCTAACCGAGAAACCGCGTTTGTTTTCTATCGAAAATAAAAAGTAGGAGAAACGCTAACAAACGCGTCTAGTAAAAACATAATCTCGATAAGCATCCCTGATGAGCTGTGCTAATTCACAAGCAACTCAATAAGTGTCTTAATTTATATATCACATTGATAGGCAGAAAAAGACAGCCAGTCAATTACAATCTTTATTCGTCATTTCTATTTGTTCATCGTTCTCCGTCGTATATCTAGGACGTTGCGTAGAAAACAATGTCCGTTACGGGATGACAAAAAAATGCAATATGGTATAACGATGTCAGATATATAATAGCGATTCCATACCTCGTTATACTTTTCGAGCTAGTATCTCATTTTTTGGCGATCGGCCGGATCCATTCGTGCTCTCCTCTGGTCTGCGATACCGGTTGTTTGATTGACTCCTGGAAAATCGAGCACAACGTTTGCATTTCTTCCAGGAAGTCAGTCATCGCGGCACGAAAGGAACGTTCGTGGAAGAAGGTGAGAAGCGGGCGTGATTCCGGCGCACGAAAGAAGTATAAAATTGTATTTAGGGCAACTCTTATTACGCGCGTCGCGTCGATGGCGCTAAAGAGATTAATTGCACGGGTGCAATGCACAATCGACAGATTATCGAGATTTACACATGTGCACTAAAAAATCACCGAAAGAATCGATTAAGAATATATTGAGATGATAATTTAAGCAATTTTACATTGTTCTATCGAATTGTCTGTTCGACTTGTCTTCTTATTCGATGCAAAACGCTATAATTTTATTTGTATAAAAAGACAGTGTTCAGGACAGGTACAAGAAGCTCGACACGTGCTTATTTTACCCTTTATTCTTTTTTGTTAAAAAAGAGAAGCAAGTCCATTTGACTTGCCACCTTATTTTTGTATGAACCTGCCATAACGGATCCCGCCATTCCCGCCGTTTTGTTGCAAGAGCCGTGCTAATTTCTCACTGAAGTTAACGTTTTTACTACAGTTCGGGGGGTAAAAACAGTTTTGTCGAACGGCGAAGCGTAGAAAATGACGCGTGTTTTGGAATCCGGGGGAGAAACCCGGCGTCTATTCCTTTGTGTGTCCTATCACGCTTGCTGTTTAAAAACGTGACTCGAACCGGATTTCTAAATCCGTTCGACAACCGGCTATATTTAGAATCAAATGTCTTTTTCTCGGCATGACCGCGGCACAGCTTTTTTTTCTGCCTTTCTGACAGGGTCCTCATCTCGCGCGGCTTTATCTCGGCTCGGCGCCCGCTTGTTCGAACGAAAGGATAGGAGGTATCGAGACGCGGCGGCGGCTTGTAAAAACCCGCTTACACGCACCGAAATGACTTTCGTCCCGTGAAAATTATCCGTCGAGCCTATCATTCACTGCTAAAGAAAGATTCTCGAAAATTTCTCTTTCACTTCATGTAGCTGTTGTTAAATAGTGGGTGCACAGTAAAATGATAACTTAATTATTCAGTAACTTAATGTTTCTCCTACATATATTATTAGTAATGAATTTAGAGAGATCCTGTGCGAGATTGTTCGGGAATTGAAATAAACACCGAAGACGTGTTTTCCATATGATACCGTTAGGAGTACCGCGATTTTTAGTAACATTTTCTACCGTCTATGGGAAGCAGATAAACTTTTCACGTTGCGGTTTAACGATATCTCGATTATTCCGCGAATGGCAAAGATCTCGCGGCAGGTATTCAGATTATGCAAGCTCTGGAACAAGTGATCGGGCTCAACGGGCCGCGGCGAGCAATGAAGACAAAGAAGTTCAAGGCAAATTGAAAGTAGAAATGAGACTCCGTTACTACGCCAACCTGGAGCAGCGAATTGCATTTGTATATGGGACTCCTTGTACATACATGTATCGGCACGATTCCGCAGAAAACCGACACCGTGCCATTACGAGGCTATTATGAAATAAGAATATCGCTCGACAAAGACCAATATAATTAAGCGCTAACTTGTGGTTAATATATTGTTAGTCACGAGTTGGTGCTTGATTATTCATTAACATAATTGTTAAAATAAGCATTCAAAAACCGTTTCAATATGGATAAATCCACATTTGTTCGTAAATGAATGTGCGAACGACAATCTTCGGAGCGCGAGTTCGGGTTTCAGAATACGGTCCGCAGAATGTGAGAAACGAGACGAATATCGGCACTTTCTTCAGGCTCGACAAAACATTCTTGCCCGTTGAGCTGTGAACCTGCCTTCTCAGATAAATCGAGTCTCATGTCGGCATCGGTGTCGGCATCGAGCGATTACGAGCGTCGCACATCTTTGCATACACGCGACTTAGGAATTTTACCTAACCCTCGTAATGTTGGAATTCTTTAGCGAAGGGAAGGACTCCCCTCCGAGGCAGGCACGTTCCCATTTTATGGGAAATAATGTATTCTACTCCGCCGGATTCTCGGTCACCAAATATATTTCTTAATCTCTCTTTCTCGACCATACGTGTGTGTGTTTAAAAGAATGCACTTGGAGTATTCAGGATACTTATAGAATGCACTTTGACTATCTTTCCGTTATAATCTTTATTTTGATGTCGCTAGAATTAATCGTTCAATTACGAACGATTAAGGAATCGAGGATTTTAATTGATCTTTATATGTTACAATATGTGATAAAACCTTATTTAATTAAAATTTCAAATAAACTTCAACAAAACTTTCTTGCAAGATATTTATTGCTAAAATTTCAAAAATCGCAAAGCAATGGTAATATGAGTCTCTAATGAAGTCAGATGAATCATCTCGAGTTTCGATGAAGAGGTTAACAATTAATTCGTTAAATTCATACTGTCTGTACCGCGTTAAACGTCGCGTCGCGAAACATTATTCTAGGAACACGCGAAATTACAATCGTTTCATAACCGGGAAAGATTAATAAATTATCACGGTCGACCAATTAGAAAAATATAGTGCAACACGTTCGCGAACACGCTCCAAAGTGTATCACGAATCGTGCATAGTCTAGCGCCAGCTTTAGATGAAAAAAGAAAGAAAAAAGAAAATGACGACGAAGTCGGGACGGCGCGGCGAGTTAACGCACCCGGATCGCGGTATTACTTATTTGACGGTAACTTCATCATCGTCGTCGTTGTCGAGGGATCGTCGGCGGCAAACGCAGCACGGCACGCGGGAGGACCTTGAGGCCAACTGTCTCGCTTTGATAGCATCAGCAGTGTTTCGTGTAAACTAATTAATCGGCGCGGTGCTGAGCACGTCGTAAAATAAAGTCGTATATTATCTGTTCGCGCGATCGCCCGACTTTATCGCGAGTTATATTTCCGCGAGTCGCGGCGCCTGCAGCCGCGCGCGCGCGAGCCGAGGGAGCGAGCGGAGAGAAGCGCGGAACGATCTCCCCGGTCTCGGATACATTATTCGCGATAAATTACGGCAATCCGCGATGCGATTCGGTCTCGATCGAGAAGAAGAACGAGCGACGGGAGGGAACGAGCGACAATACGAGGCGGCAACGTCGGGAGGGATCTTCGGATTTATTACGGCCCGGTCGGCTAAAGACCGGCGCGTGAGATAATAAAAGCGACGCGAGGCAAGCGAACGAAATTTTTAAACGAGAAGCGGCGACAGTAAAATCGCGTTTATCGTCCGCGTTCGCGCTTGATCCCGGTGGCAGAGAACGATCAGCTTAAAAGAGCGCGGTATAAAATCCACAGGAAACTGGTTCGGCAAATCGTCCACTTCCGATATTTCGCCTCGCGCGCGCGCGCGGCCAATCGCGTGACGAGTGTTACCGCGCCGCGGCCGGTCGTTGCTCATTACTGAAAATAAGAAAAACGGCGGACAATCACAATGCCATAACGTGAAATGTCCAATGTATAATATAAACCGGCTGGTGCCGCGATATCGCCCTAATTATATGCCCGGTTGCAACGCGTATTATTTTCTATTTTTATCTCTGCATTCACGCGAGCTGCGAGCGCGCGCGAGTCAGCGTTAAAAAGTCTTCCATCTTTTTCAACATCATCGTATTCTGCCATTTACAAAATAGATACGATCTGATGGGGCAGAGGGAGGGGGAAAGAAACTCTGTTTAAGCGTGTAAATGCTACAATGACAAGAGAGTTTCGATATCTGGAGCACATTCTTGCAAGATCATAGGTTCGAAATGAATAATTATGCTAAAGAATGCAAGTAACAAGAACAATGTGGACTTTTTGATTTATTGACTCAGCTTGGGTAGGAACGGAGCAGGTTGATATGCTTAATGTAAGCAGTTAAGAGACCTCCTACTGTTACGTTTGCCGCGTGAAATATGAGTACTATGGGCGAGATAAACTTCAGATAACTTCTTAACAAGAATGTCCAGATATAAATGGTTCGAAGGACTCGAGCGAATTAAATATATGCATAAAAAAATAGGTAATAGATAATAACAACCTTGATTCTCAACGAATCAAAAGTGGTCTTTCGCTTTAATGTCCCTAATCGGCACAGCTACGAAGATACCTAATACCGGAACCAGTAGCGGTTCTAACAGGCAGAAAGATTCTTTAAGTTTACGATAGGGAACACATTGCTGATACGATAAGGAACATACTGCTCGCCAAACGGGCTTATTACCGAACGGCCTGCATAAGAGCCGTATAAAAGTTAATCGAGACTGTCAGGACGGCTGTGCGGCGCGGCGGCGGCCGCTGGCTGCTGCTAATGCCAGCCGCCGCTGGAAACTGGAATCGATGAAAAATCAATGCAACTCCCTCAGACACGCTCTGATAGACTTCGACGCTCGCAAAGTCTCTCGCAATTCGACGGCCGAGCTCGCGCTCGCGCCACGCTCGGCTCTCCTGCCAAGAGCGCTTTCGTTTCCTCCGGGGCGACAGACGGAGAGGTAACAATCCATGCGCGATAATTACACCGGCGAGCTCGGCGTAGCCGACCGATCAAATTGGAGGCGATAATAAGTGTGCGCCCCGCACGCGATCGGTATCACCTCGCGGTTTTCGAATAGTTTTCCGCTCGAATTCCTGAAATTCCTCGCCGCTATCGAATGTCCGAGAGACAGACAGAGATTACTCCATGCCGATGAAGTAATAATACAAGATACTTCTCCATCCTACGATCGCATGCAGTTTCGCGTCCGCGAGTGCGAGACGCGAGTGCGAAACAATTAGTGGTAATAGTGTCAAGGGAAAGATTGGCTTGATTCGTAACGTCGAACACGTAACGAAGACTCTGCCCGCCTTTGGCGAAAGTAAAAACGATCTTTCACCTCAGAAGCGATTCGCACAATTTGATTACGAAGTCGATTTTGGTCAATTCTAATTGGATCAAATGAAATATATCTTCGTACTTTATTTTATGTAACAATTTTATTTTCTCCGATTTTTTCATTATCTTATCTTGAATAAACATATCCACATTTATATATTCATTTATA